TGTGTCTCTCTGTCTCTCTGTGTCTCTCTCTGTCTGTCTGTCTGTGTGTCTCTCTCCGTCTGTCTGTCTGTGTGTGTCTCTCTCTGTCTGTCTGTGTGTCTCTCTCTGTCAGTCTCTCTCTCTGACAATTGTAACTAATTCAGCTAAAAGCCCCACATCATTATGATATAATATGTTGCCTGTGCTTCGGTTTGTAGCAGTAAAAATCACCGCTTCTTTGTCAATTTGTCACACAAACAGCCTAAACAAGCCTGGTTAGCTTCTAGATGCTAGCAGGTTAGCTGCGTCCGTTCTCGGACAGCTAGCTAGCTAGCTCGCTAGCCACAACTGTAGCTAAAAACAACACAAAAACAAGGCATGAGAAACAAGCTCACGGTGGTCACACGGGTTGTTTTCTACCGTTATGGCCACAAAGATAAACAAGCTGTGCACGTCTGACCGCCGTGTGTCCGATAATGGACCTCTGTGGCCCCCCCACCTTGTACACATCTCCGTATGTGCCGCTTCCGATCCGCTGGATCAGCTCGAAATCCTCCTGCGGATTCCTCCGCGACAGGTCGACACTGGAGTTCATCATTTTACAACAACTGGTACGGTTTACTGCGCAGAACGCGCGCGGTTTTTTTTAGACGAAACCACCCAAATAACGTGCGGGAATAATGGATATTTATTAAAGAAAAAAACAACAACAATACGGCGTCAGTGAATCCCAGCCCGAGTCCACTGTAGCTCCAACATGGCTGCCACACTGCGCAATGAGCATGCGCAGTGGACATCATGGCGTAGCCGCTGAAATGCGAGTCTTGACACAAGGCGAGATGGATTTAATGATTAAAACTGTGATATTTATTTATCTCTGTTGTGTTTGTTTATTTTATTGTTTAAATTTTGCAAATTAAATAAACTAAACAAAAACTAAACTATGGTGTTTTTATTTTACCTTTTTTAACATAAAGACATTTGGTGATAAAATAATACGAATCAATCACGTTAATTTATTTTTTTTAATTGTATTTATTTTGCAAAATGTATGGATTCAAGACTAAGATTTTTTTTTTATAAAAAAATTTGGTGATAAAACTACAAAATACTGTAAAGAATACAATTCAATCACGTTAATTTATTTTTGAAAAAAAGGTCTAATAAAAACACCTTAGTTTAGTTTATTTATTCATTTTATTTATTTATTTAAACATATTTCCCCTTGTGGGATTAATAATGTATCTATCTATCTTTTGCATAATTTAAACAATAAAATAAACAAACATAACAGAGATAAATACTATCACAGTGCAGGAAGAGGAAAAAAGCCAACTGGACTTGTTTGAAGCCTCCACCTATATAATGTTAAAATATTACAATATTACAGAGAACATAAAATGAATATATGCACAAGATATGACTATGTCATAAGTTTACATCTAATGGGGGGGGCAAATGAAAACACGATATAAGCCCTGCATGGCCTCGTCTGGCCCTGCTGTATGAAAGTGGGCTAAGCGGGGCTAAACAGAGGCAGACGTCAACATTGTGATGGGGTCTGTGTTACAGGAAGAACTAAAGTGCCATTACAGGATAAAGAGTGATATTCTATATTTATGATCAACAAAAGAGCCACGCAAACAATGATGTGATGCTAAGCAGAGTTGTCTGTGTGGCAAGAGTCTGTTTTAGCTTATTCTTCTGTGCAGTAGGCCTAAAACACTATTAAAACAGTTGCACCGTGTCGTGGTGGTAACATGTTCCTTCTGTACATTTGCTAAAGACTACAGCGCCCAGAGCCCCTTTTTATAAGAGAAACTACATATTTGCATGTTCATTGGCTTTGGAGTTTGAGGAACACTGCTGGTTTCTGGTCTTTTTATGGAATTTGTTGACAATCCAAAGAACAGAATAACTCCATAAGAATAATCCACTCGTCAGGCTTCTTTCAAATACAGTAGAGATTAAATTAAATGAAGCATATGAAGATGCATGTGTGGATTACTGAACAGGCTGACCGGGTGCTTCACCTATAACATGTTACTCAAAGAGACACGAAGACACACGAAGAGACTCACAGCGACTATGAAAAGAGGCAAAACAACAAAGAGACATAAAACGACTAAAAAGACACAAAGATACGACAAAAAGGGGCAAAATAACCACAGAAAAAACACAGAAGAGGCCCGTTGTCTCATAATCATGGATAAATGATTTACCTCTGGAATGGCAAAAGCTCACACAACTCAATATTCAACAATGTTTTAAAAAATATATATTTATTTCTTTGTATTATTTGCAATTGAACAACAGAAGTGAAACAAACAGACGAATAAAAGAGTAGTTCTTTCATCCATCCATTTTCCTCCGCTTATCCGGGGTCGGGTCGCGGTGGCAGCAGGCCAAGCAGCGAGGAAACAACAATTACGGCACTTTAACACACCTACTTATATTTGATGACAAGTAACAAAGAGAAGTATCTGATTACTTTGAAACGTAACGTTCACACAGATCAAGCGTCCGTCTTGACATATTTATGGATTAGTCCATCTATCGCACCTAAGCTGACTCTAAGAGTCTCCTGGTGCTTCAGGGAGCACCGAGGGGGAGGCAGCCTGAGCTGCAGCCCAGACTGAGGCTCTGTTTCCTGGGTAGGTGGGGGTCCAGAGTCCTTCTGAGCCAGGAGGTTCTTCAGGAGACAAGATAGCTGAGGACTCAGAAGGAGAACCAGGGTGCCCCCGATACGGAGGACTCTAGAAACACAAACATTTATTACATTAATTACAGTTATTGCTCTTTTTCTTTGGACGGATGGAAAAAAAATCATATAAATTCTATTGATAAATACAAAAGAGTGAGTTTTACTTAACAATAACAGTTAAAAAATGTTCTATTCTGCACATTACATGAACGCATTTTGTGATTCACTGAATCCTTCTGAAAGAAACAATGGAAACAGAAACACAAACCTCTCCATCTCTGTGAGGATGAGCGGCAGGTTGGCAGCCATGTTTGTTTTGGTGCCAAACTTCCTGCCAAACGGAAGGTCGCAGACGACAGCGTCTACACTGGTGCTGGGCAGAGGCAGCACTGCACACACACACACACCCACACACAACCACACAACCACACACACACACACACACACACACACACACACACACACACACACAC